CTGTCTCTTATACACATCTAGATGTGTATAAGAGACAGATATATAGGTGTAGTAGTACCTCTTCGGGCTCTTGTACACCTTTTTCTTGCAACGTGTGCGTGTTCTTTAGATCCTCAGATGGCTCTAGCACTTTCGTGACCACGGGCCGAGAGTCTTTGCTAGATTTTGGCATTTAGCAACTGGCATACGGTTTAATGTGAAGTCAACAACAACAACAACAACAACCGTCGTTGTCAGGGGAAGTGGATGAAAGTAGCAAAACAGCGTGAGATTGGCGAAGTGATAGTTGCTGAGGCGCCAAAGAAACATGATCCAATTTCCGGTATTACACGATGTGTTTGGCACGGCTATTCCCCGTCGTCCCCTTAAGGGAATTACAGAGCGGAAGAGCTGTCTTGGTAATGGCAGCACCTCACGCGCTGTGCGACCTGCGCGTTCAATATTGAGGACGCCACCGCTCGAAGACCCAAGCCTCAGGTGCTTTCCTGAAAACCGTAAGAAATGTTACGTGCAGCAAAACGCGTCGCGTCCTGCTGGCTTTGTTGAGGAATGCCCGATCGTAGTTATGTTGGAAGAGATGCAGAGCTTGCGTTGACGACCTGACTTTGTGACTCAGAGATACGTAGCCTCTGGGCAGCGACGCGAAAGCAGAGGCGAGCTTGATCTGTTCCAAAAAGGGTGAAATTGGTATCTGATGAAGTTATCCTGGAGGATGGATTACTAGCTTCGAACATCGCCTTCATCAGCGCCTGTTCCCAGCATTAGCGTATTGTTATTTGACAAGCACGACAGAATGTATTCTGCATGTGTTTCTTGCCGTTCAAGCGCCACCGGCTCAACACAACGACACCTTGCTCTACTCCCCCGCCCGCCCCTTCACCTCGAGCCACTTTCCGAAATGCCTTCGTCGACTCCCGATTGGTTAACCCAGGTTGTGGTGCTTAACAAAATCGATCTGCCTCACGTGAGGAGTAAGCAGGAAGAACTCGAGAATTTGATAAAGGCGGAATTGGACCACACCAGGTTTATGTCTATCAGGTAAGAGAGACAGAGAGAGGGAGAGAAAGAGATGGAGAAAGAAAGAGAGAGGGGGAAAATGTTCCCTGCTGTGTGTTTCTGTTGGGTGCTGCGTGTAAGATAGGCACGTGTCCGGTTTGTGTGTTCTAGATGCATGTGGCCGGGTTCTGCATGTGGGTATTGTGAGAAGATGGGCTCGTCGGATGGACGTGGCAGTAGGTGTCAGGGATTTTCATTGAATCAATCTTGGTGCCGAAAATATTCATCACGCGGACAGATTACCCGACAAGCACAAGCCTTGCCAGCAAAATGAAAACGTCAACCACTCCGTTTTTACTGCTGTGCACCACTCTCAAGCCCCCCCCCGCGCCTCCTTCTCGTCCCTTCCCTTGCCGAAACGAAACATTCGTTACTATGCCATTAAACTACATCGATTTGATAGCGCCGTTGCTGGCGAGAACACGCAAGAGCTGATGCGGCGCCTCCGCAAGCTGGTGAACTCCCTCCCCCCGGTAGACGACCTGTTCGACGGGGAGGCGGTGAAGATGCTCGACTCGCCGGCCGCGGAAGACACCGGCTTCAGCATCGAAACGGACCCCAGCTACCCGGGGCAGTTCCGAGTTCACGGGGCCCGCATCGTCCAGATCGCCAAGATGACAGAGTGGGACTACTACGAGGCGGTGCAAAGGTACATTGTCGTAGGCTGCATTTGAAACACCGTAATTCATGAAAATTGTGCGTACTTTTTCTATAGGCTCTGATTTTATCCCAAACGAGAGGCCGGCACTTTGCCTGGGTAGATCGGCTAAAATAGTCTTCCCATCAAGAAGACCGCGCCGGGGGGTAATTTCTGGCGCTATCGATAAGTTTATCATGGAGGGGTCCTTTCGTGTACAACCTGCGGCGCGCTGTGCGTTGGGGACCGCGAATTATCGCGAAAAAGTCGTGGGAAAGTTGGGTACTTCAGAAATCCCGCAGTCACCACCTGCAGAGAATATCCTGGGCCGTGATTTGTGCTAGCCCTTACATGCCAATCACGTATCCTGAGTGATTGGTTCTGTTCTGTGCCTAACAATCTCGGCGTGCAGGGTTGGCAGGCCTGTGGGCAGCGAGACTGCGCACTTTATAGTGTCGTACGTATGTCGTTCTCCAATGGCTGCCTTCACGCGACCATTCGGCTTAACAAGTATCCGGTGAACTGACGTTCCAACAAACATATTACACAGCACAAAGACTCGAGAAAGAAAAAGGCGACCGAGTGGGGGGGTGAGTGGGTGACTCCGCCCGATTTTGTTTCGGTTCATTTTACTTTCCAGTACCAGTAGAACAACTCTGGCTGTCTGCCTGTCTCTCTCCCCGCTCTCTCTCTCTCTCTCTCTCACTCAATCGTCACCATTCCTTCCCTCTTGGTCCCGTTTTTCCGTTTGGCCTGAACCCAGGTTCCAACGCGTGATGGAAGCCATGGGGGTGGACGCCGCCCTCAAGAAGGCAGGAGCACAAGCGGGCGACTTGATAATGATCGATAAATGGGACTTCGACTACAAGTGAGCGTTCCTTCACATATTTGCTGTATATGAAAGCGGGATTTAGGGTATGTATGCTCTTGTGATCTACACAACTAGCCCAACCACCCGATTTCAACATCCGAGGCACGAGGAAACAGGCAGCGCCGATTGGTGGAAAATTCCATCGCTTTCGTTTATTGATCCCCCACAATGGGGGGGGGAGGGAGATCATCCGATCGACGCGGCCAGGGAGAACTAATGAACCTCTTATGCACATCAAACTCCTCTTTTTTTCTGTCTCCTCAGCCCTCCGCGAAATATATGACCAAAAACTCTGTGCTTTTTCTAGTTTTTCGACGCGAATAGTTTCCTCTCACAGAAACACTGGAATAATTGTGTCCAACAGACACGAGCAGAAAGTAAGTCACGGCCGTTTTGTAGTTGCTCCGCTCGCACGCTCGTTGTTGATGCGCGCTAACCATGGTTTCGCCGAGAGTGCCGTGTGTTTAGTTATGCCGAGATTTGACGCCATCGTGTCTGCGATATGAAAGAAGCAACAAGTTGCTCTGTTCACGCTATGTAAATGTCTCATGCGCGTCAACCATGCTTTCACCGACCGCGGTCTTCTTTCCTGGTGATCGGTGTCTAGGGGAGGTTTGCGTGGAAGATGGATCGGGCTACTCAAACATGTGCTTATTGGGAGGCATTTTTGAAGTGTGACGTAGACGCGGCCTTCGGAGCGCATGACAGTGGTCTAAAGGGTCACGTTGCCGACGGAATTCAGGGGGAAACAGTGGACCAGACTGTGTTTAGCCAATTATCGTATACTACAGATTGGGGGTGGACTATCCCCTAGACTTGTGGATAGTAGGGAGGGAGGATTCAGTTGAGAACCCTGGCTCCTTTGCATCTTCATTTCCTTTTTGTTACCCCGGATTTGGCCTCTCGCTGCGACTGACTTACCATGGCTAGAGCAATTGCGACTGACGGATATTTTTTTCTCAAGTCCCACTGGTGTCAAGCGGTGTACGAAGCTCTCGGAAACCTATTCTACGTGTACAGCAGCATGAATATGTCGGAATGTTGTCGAAAGTGGCGCGCACAACATACCCACACGCGTGTAGGGAGCGTACTCTTGACAGTGCTCATGGTCCTTTAGCTGTTGTTGCCATGTGGTTGTTGGATTCTTATTTTGTCACGTTCTAAACCGCCTTGCCCTGTCAAGTACACCTCGTACTCCCTCCTCTTCAAGGCAAATAGACTAATTTCCGTGGGCACAGAAGAACATGAGGTGCGAATAGGAACAAGGAGACGGCGGTGGTGGCGTCTCACCACTCTGGAATATACAGAACTTGCTTTGCATATCCATATCTCTCCAGGCCCAAGAAGGGCGGTGGGTGAGTTGCAGAGAAGGCCACCCTCCGCCCCCAGGAAAGAATTGAAGTACCAGAGCCCAACTCTGGAGCTAAGCCAGTCAACAACGGAATCCTTGCATGCTTCAAGAGTGTCACCCACAATTGAAGCATAACCCATAACTGCCTGATTGGGTTGGGTGCACAGTTCTTCTTCTATACCGTCCGCCCTTTGGGATTCAAGTGGAGTTCCAAGATCCGCGCGCGTCGCCGTTTTCCTCATTCGCTCGAAGCCATGACCACTCGCCACCACCCTGCCTTTCCCCACGTACCCGTTTTTGTCATTGTGTGCTGCCCCACGACCCCGAAAGGCCCGACGTAGCGAGCGTGTACCTAGAAGGGCTTGAGAACGTCGGGGACTTCGGTGACGATGGAGATGAGGATGGAGATTGGGTGGAGATGCCGTAACAGCAGTAGGGGACAAACCGCCTCGGTGGTCTCCGCGTCAAGGCCACGTGAAGCTTGGGGGTTTGGCTTGTAGAGCTTTCGAGTAGTGGGGGCGTCTTGTGGGATAGATACGTTGAGCGGTTTGGCTCGGAAAGGTTTTTGAGTACACTTTCGTTTGGTGCATAGCTTGCAACAAACGATCGCGGCACCTGCCAGATTCGATGTAGCCCCATCGGGTCATGTTTGGTTGGTTAGACTACTCTGCAAACGGTCGACCTCGAGATAAATGTCGAAGACTTCACAGAGCATGGCGGAACCTCAACCTTGTTGATAGTTCCACGCCACGCCACACACGTGCCCCACAAAACTCGGCGCGGTGGTCAGAGTTGAACGGTGCCAAATGGGGCGAGACGCTAAACATGGTGTCGTTTCGACCATTCTCGGAGTGGTGATGGTGATGGTGGTGCTTGTTCCGTCTCCTCACCCGGATGATGGGGATGTTGGCTACAAATTTCGATCATTCGAAAGAGCCTGCGGGTTCGTTCGTTCAACGAATTATAGGTGACGGCCTCCAACCCACCCTTGAGGACAACATGATGAGCACGTCTGTTTTTCTTATGTTGGCGGATCTGACAAATGCGTGTTGGCGTTGCTGGTTGGATTTTCGCCCACCCCGTCATGCTACCGTCCAGCGGTAACTTTTTTTTTTTTTATGGCCAACCTGTGTCCATCCCACCCCGAGCCTGTGTTGTACACGGTAAAAATAGTGTGTTGAAGGGGCGAGAGGCCCGGGAGGGCAGTTTTATACAACTGCGTTGTTGCTGGACAAAGATCGATGGCACCGGACTCCTGTTGTCACAACTCGAGCAAGAAAAGCTTGGTGCTAATGTATCCGGCTCTTGAAATGATTCGTAGGTGGCTTGTTGAGACACACCGTTCCCCCCCGGGTGCTGTTGGACGTGATGCAGGCACGGAGATCGCTGGGTTTTATGAAACGCAAAAAATGGAGAACAGCAAAATATTGGAATTGGGCAAGCTGATGTGGGGAATAGAGACCAGGGGGTCCCTCGAACAATTTGAGGCCACAACGCGTGCGTTGAGCATGAAGCAGGGTTGCTTGCCTGCTGTGTCGTGCGTGTTGAGACAGCTTTCCGCGAAGCAAAAACACGACAGTTGCGCCAGATTCTAAACAGAAAGCGTAGCTGCGAGGGGGGGGGGTGGGTGGTAGTCGGGGAAAACACTCGCCTCGTCACAGCAGTAGTAGTTGCCGCCGATTCAACACGCACGGCCACCTGTGTCTCACACAGCAAGCTGCACTGCTGTTACTGCTTGCGGGTTATGTTTCCTCCCAACAAGAGCCGAGGGCAGGCAGGAGTAGCAGATGCGCAGCAAGGCTCACGAGGCGTACCGGCACACTGCTGTCAGGGACTTGCGCATCAATTACTTGGTCGTCACCACCAATCGACAAAAAAGTGGTCAATGGTAAATATTACATGTTCGATAAATGATCGTTTGTCAAGAGCCAACACAAGCAGAAGGTGTCCTCTGCTTAGCTTGCATGCCTAACGTACTTGGAAGCGTTACCTATTTCCTGAAGCAAAACCGAAAGCGCCAGAATAGTCCCGCCCGGCTGCTGGCTGCACCATTCCTCTTGCCATGCATGTAGCCCCCGAACATTCTTCGAAGGGTATTATTTCTTCCCCCCCTAGCCCGAAACACCAACGACGAGAGACTCCAAGCACAGGCGTGCCACCCTCCCACAGAGGTATTATACCACAACACCAACGAAAAACCCAGGACTTCGCACACTAAAAATAAAGTACCAATATAACATCGACTCCCCCGCTCGGACAAGCCACAGGAAAAAACTGCCGTGACACGGTCAACAGAGGAGGAAGAGACAGAAATCACCTAAGGTGCCCCTGGAAATACTGCTCGAGCAAGGAGGAATTTAGTATCCCCCCACCTCTCAAGGTGTCAACTATTTTCTTTGTTTTGGATCCCTCGTGCCCCTCAACACGAAAGACAGTGACTTCTGCCGGAGTGAGTGGTCGCGTGGCGAGCTCAGCCCTCGCTGGCACGCCCCCATGACACCTATGACACCTCCCCAATATAGCATTACCACCAACAGCGGCAGCGGTGGCACAAGCAGTACATGCATCACACCAAGCAAAAAAGAGGACAGTCAGTCCTGCACCCAGAACACGAAGCGAAAAAGATGACACGAAAAAAATAAATCTACAGGATATTCTCTGCCCCAACCCCCCGCGTCTCATGATGTTCCGCGTCAGGACGCCCATACCCCCTCCACGATAGTTGACGTCAGGCTCTACCGGCAGTGCTTCCGCGGTAGAATGGGTGGAACTGCTCTACGAAGAGAAGCGACACACTAAAACGAAACGCAAGCTTCTGGGTCAGAGTAGAGAAATACCAATGCTGTCGCCTATGAGCGGTACAGCAGAAAGCGCACCCACAAATCTCTGCAGAGACTAGAATACCACCCTGCTGAGGGCAAAGAAGCCGATGCCATTTTCGTCTGGGCAACATCAACTCAAAAGAAATCACGGAGCAACAAGGCCCGGGGTGTGATGGTAGGCAACAGAACACGAACAGCAGAGGCGGCGGTAGACGCAGAAACGCACGAATTCTTCAGAGTTTCAAAGGTAGTTGACGCCCCTTATCACACACCCACCGGCCGTTCACCGACATTCAAGGACGTGCGCAAGATCGTCCGCACGGCGGTCTCCAAGCTGCGGCAGCACTCCGTCAACCGCTCCCTCCTCCACCACCCCCGCCCGCGCACCTCTTGCCGCTTGCGTGTTTTCGTCTCCGTACAAGCAGCCCGCCCCCCTCCTTCCAACGCATCAGCAGTCGGAACGCCTTCCAACACTGCTGCCCCCCCCCCCCCCCCCCCCCCCCCCCCCCCCCCCCCCCCCCCCC